ATGAAAGCAGCTGCAAGCTCCCCCAGCTCCAGTGCTCTGTACTACAACTCCTCAGGCTGGGACTAGAGTTTGGATTTCTGAGAATTCACCTTGCTAGCAAGAAGTCTGCATAAATGATTTAGAGATTAACACTTGGCTATGGAGTGAAGACAGGGAAGGTAACAGCAGCAGCTCAGAAGCTAGAGAATCTGGGAATTCAAGCTTACTTGTCCTCATCATACATGACTTGCATCTCTCATCTGCTCCTGCGGGATATATATGGTTAGTCCCCTCTCCACCCCTCACCCCCAGACTCTGCTTTTGATGTTGCTAGTGCAGATGGAAGAGGAAATGAGGAATGTTTCCAGTCTCACTGCGCCAACCTATGAGGCAGCAACACCACTGGAATAACCCAAAACCCCTTATCCCCTTCCAGCTTGTGAGTTTTAGGAAATCAGTGGGACTGACCTGTGAGCTCGGGGAGGACGGGGGCACTCGGGAGAGGGGTCCGCTCTACACGGAATTCTAAAAACGAAATGTAAGACAACTTAGGAACTTGTTAAAACTCCCCCGAGAGGGATCTGGCAGAGAGACAGCAGAACTGGGACTTTCTGGGCAGAGCCCAAGGCCAGACAGAGTTGGACAAAGTGACTGCAGCCTCTGGCCTTGGACTCATTTTAAATGAATTTCAAGTTGCTGCAAAGTGCTAGATTGACTGCACTGGAGACTGAAAGCCTCTGCTTACCCCAGAACAGGAACAGCACACACAGGGGCAGTGGAAGCTTTCCTTACACTGCGCCCAGCCCATATGCCTCATCTCTGCATTGGAGGGAACATCTATAGGGCTGAAAAGGGAGCTGTCTGTTTGGCATAGCCAATCCTTGATCTTTCAACTGGCACTGAGCTGGTGGTGACTGTGACAAGAACACCTGGTTCACTAGGACTGAGACCCAGTGACTGGATTCACACAGACAACCAGACAGCAACTTTCAGTCACCATCAGTGTAGGCTGGACATCTCTGCATTGGAGGGAACATCTATAGGGCTGAAAAGGGAGCTGTCTGTTTGGCATAGCCAATCCTTGATCTTTCAACTGGCACTGAGCTGGTGGTGACTGTGACAAGAACACCTGGTTCACTAGGACTGAGACCCAGTGACTGGATTCACACAGACAACCAGACAGCAACTTTCAGTCACCATCAGTGTAGGCTGGATTCAGATTATCAGCATAGAGGTGAAAGCTGCCCAGAGCCTGTTGCCAGTCTCCTAACGTGGGGCCTTTCTACACAATCCATTGGGGGCTGGGGACAGAGGGGGGCAGGGGATAGAGTTGCCACTTGTCCTGAGAACAGCAGGGCAGTCTTTTATAGGGTGGCGCTGCATTCCACTCTGCTTGTGCAGGAAGGGGAGGGAGAGCAGGTGGCCCGCAGAAAGCTCAGAGCAGCTGCAGCATTCATCAGGGTCCAGGCAGCAATGATCTTCTCTGGGCTTCAACATGAGGCATGGGGTAGGAATTTACACATAGGCAATGGTTTGAAGAGGGGTTTGCTGGGGCTCTATGAGATCTGGGATACAGCTCATGGCATTTCCGACTCTCACATTTAGGGAACGTCAAGCCCATTTCATGCCAGCAGGGTTCATGTCCTGTACTCTGTTTTCAGAAAGGTGGCGACTCTGGGAGAGACACAGACACAGAGGCAACCTTCTGTGTAACAGCAGCCCCACAGAGGAGCCTAGCAGAGAGGGGGCAGTGCATGAACCTAGGACTTTTCCTGTCATAGGAGTGAGAGGATAACAGCAGCAGGCATTCACATGGTGGCAGCCTCCTTTCTAACTAGCCAGTTCCCAGTGATTCCAGGCCTCCTCCCCCTCCCATCTTCACAGATTGAGAGAAAGACCAAACTAGGGCAAGGGTAAAACAGGCAGAGTGGGTCACATGCCACGGGTTTCCCTTAGCATCAGGAGAAACTGGAGGAATGGGCAGGAAGAGGCACTTACCAGGAAACTGATAAGTGTAGCCAGGTGCAAGGCCCGTGTAACTCCGACTAGCGTAAGTGGCAGCTTGGAAACCTGGATAACCTGCCAGCAGAGAAAAGGGGATTGTTACACAAAACCCCACAATGCCACTTGCCAGCCCCAGTTCTGGGTGTTTTCTTATAGCCTGGACCAAAGAACTAGGAAAGAATCAAGCGACAGCAGCTGAACAACGCACATTTACGCACATGCAGTGTGTACAGTGCAGGAATTGCAGGAAGAATTTTAATGGAATTTAAAAACATTGCCTTGGTGTGCTTCCAGACATTGTTACCCTGAAGGGCTCAGGTTGCAGATGACTATGTTCAAGCAAGAAAGAACCAAGACTGACTCTCAGACCCTAAAAGGAGTTAATTGGGCTGGAAATCAGGAGTGTGAGGGGAACCCACAGCTTTTCCCTTGTAACCTGAACACATCTGCTCTGAAGTCATGGAGAACAGGTCCCCACAATGCCACACACAGACGCTCCCTTGAGGAGCGTCCCACATTAAGTGGCTGGTTTGATTTGTGACCCGGAATGGTTGCATTCCCTACAGGACGGAAGTTAGTGTACAGATTGCACTGGATTCTCAGGGACATTTTTATCTCCTTTGAAAACCAGTGAGCCTGTTTATTGGGATGATATACAGAGAACACTCTGTGCCTGTGTATCTGAAGTCATTATGCTCTCCCTGTCAGCCAACCGGAGGACGATGACAAATGCTCTTTGGGGCTCTTGAAGCAAATATCCGTGGTAACAGTCTGACCTGGTATAGCAGTAATACACTTGGATGCAGAAAACTCAGCTTTTGGCTTAACTATGTTGCCTTTATTTGTGCCACGCCATAGTGTACATCTTGCTCTATACATACTGTGTTAAATAAGTTACAAAGAGAAAGGAATTCCAACTACGAGTTAGAATTTCTCCCAGCTGCATTCCTGTTCTTTTTGTGACTCCAATTCTAGGACCATGCATCTAGAGTTCTAGTGTGCTGCCACCAGGTGGCGAACTGTGACCATAAATTAATCCCAACCCTCATCCCAGCATCAATGTGGCTTTTCAAAATGGGGTCTGATGTCATACTCCCATCTCTTCTTGAACAGCCTGAGCTACCTCCCCCATCAGAGCAGACCTTCCTTGCTGCTGCTGAGAGTGATGTGGGGCAAGGGGCTAGAGAGAAGGATGCTCTGTTGCAACGCTCACCCAGCATGCCAATCCCAAGCATGAAGGCATCCATCCCATAAGGCATCACTCGGGACCGCCCTCTCGCAGAGCCAGTGGGGGACATCACTTCCTTTGGCTGAGCTTTTTTAAATTCCACCTGCCACAAAAGAGAAAGTATTGGGCCTCAGCCTGGACTTGCACAGCATTTGCTCTGAGCACAAAGAGTCCTGCAGGCCAAAAGGACAGTCGTATTGCATTAAAATGCTATGCTTGCTCTGTCCCATACACCATTCCGCCACTAACTCTGCTCACACAGCCTCCTCTGCACAGATGCTCTGCCCCCAGCATGTTTGGAGCAATTAAGACAGGAAGTTCTTCCACTGCTTCTGTCCTTGCCTTTCTCCATGACTTTTGGCAAGGCACCCTTGGAGTCTCAGTGTCCTCAAGGCACCTGCCTCTCAGAGGTGGGAAGAGGTTTAGGTAAAACTAGCACAGTACTCAGGGGCCACAAAATTACAATTCCCAGTTATGGTTCAACTACACTTCCTTCTGGGCGTCAACAGCAGCAGCTCTCCTTTTTGAGTAACTCCTCCCTACATCTGGGACAGTGATTTCAGGGGTTCCATCTGCTTCTTAGCTGCCCTACTGCTTCTCCCTATCCCATTATTGGCTTTGCTCTTCATAGAATCAGAGAACTGGAAGGGACCTGAGAGTTCATCAAGTCCCGTCCCTGCACTCCTGGCAGGACCAAGTGCCATCTAGATCATCCCTGACAATGATGGAGATTCCACAACCTCTCCAGGCAATTTATTCCAGACCTTAACCATCCTGATAGCTAGGGAGTTTTTCCTCTAGTCCAATGTAAACTTCCCTTGCTGCAATTTAAGCCCACGGCACACTCACCATTTTGTTATTGATCTCATGGAAGTGGATTTCACACACCTTCTCCACAATATCTTCACTCTCAAATGTGACGAATCCAAACCCTGAAGAAAGGGAAACACTTCCTGTTCAGGGCAGAACTCTGAGAGATCAGTACCTGCCTCCTGCCTGTCCCACATGCCCAGGACAGGAGAAGGCAATTCAGAGGTTACCGGGGTGCGACAGTAGGGTCTTGGCAATATTTCCCCTTCTCTGACTCCAGCAAGTCCTGCACGTGTGCAGCAGTCATATGAGGAGCAGGGAAATCAATGTCCTCTCCCAGATGTTCCTCTCCTCTCAGCTCCATTTTGCTGTCTTCTCCCTTCATTAAAGCCCACACCACTTGTTGCTGATGGATTTATTCTAAGCAGCTTTGCTATTTTTGTAAGACAAACTGAATGGTTTCATGACGGATACCACAATAACGGGTTCCAAACTGGATCCAATCCAGCAGACATATATATGAACAAAACTGGTGCCTACCAATGCCTGTTCACTATCAAAATGAAGTTGGTGGGTCTCAGTCCAGTCCCCAAAAGAAAAGCACCCCCATACCAAAAGGGGATACTCAGTAAGTCATCTTCAAAGTCCTATCTGTACATTCACTAGTCTTTACAGCTCTGTGTATGACAGGCAAGTATCAGCGTCATTATTTCTGGGACGAAAATCAAGGCAAGGAAAGGTTATGTGATTCAATCAAGTTCACCAGTATCTGAGGAAGGATGAGAACTTGGAACTTCTTGACTCCTGGCTCTATGCTCAAAGAACATCCCTAACTGTGATCTGTCTTGTCAAAAGGCTGACGACTCTGGAGCTCAAACTTTCTTTTTGTGACCTGGGTGGCCCTTTTAGAGGAAGAGCTAAGGCACGGCAGCGAGGGACTTGGAGTCAGCTGCCCCAGCCGTGGCTAGATGGCTTTCTGACTACAGGGCTGCTTAATCAACTTCACCAGAACCAAAAACAGTTAAACACAAACACTCATATTTCTGTATGTTCTAAGCTGGACTGAAAGAAATGTCTCTTTCTGTGAGCTTCTCCTTGCTCTCAAAGTAGGCATGTATACAGCCCCATCACAAGCTGTTTCTGGGTGCCTTCCTACACTGAAGCCAAGAGGCTGCCAATCCCAGATCAGATTATTGATCCATCTAGCCTAGTACCATGCCTTAAGCATGATGGCTTAGAAGAAGGTAGTCCTTCCTATCTCTTCTGTATGTCTCTACATAATAGCATAAGAATAGCCATGCTAGTCCATGCTAGCCATCTGGTCCAATATTCTGTCTTCCAACATGGCTGGCGCAGGTGCTGCATAGAGAACGAACAGCACATGGCAATTACTGAGTGATCCATCCTCAGTCACTAAGTCCCAGCATCTGGCAGCTGGAGATTTAGCGACACCGAGAACGTGGGTTTGTGTCCCTGGCAATCTTGGCTAATAGCCATTGATGGACCTATTCTTTATGAACATATCTAATTCTTTTTTGAACCCCATTATATTTTTAGCTTTCACAGCTTCCCTTGTCAGTCAATGAGTTTCACAGGTTCATTGTGCCTGGTGTGAATTATTTCTTTATATTTATTTTAAACATTTGATGCCTATTAATTTCAGTGCATGACTCCTGCTTCTTGAACTACATGAAGGGGTAAATAACACTTCCTTATTCACTTTCTCCATACCACCCATGATTTTATAGACCTCTGTTATACTCCCCCTTATGTCTGGTTTACACTAAGACCTTGTCCAAAAAACCACCTCCCCCAAGTTCGAATTGGAAAGTGGTGCACCCATATTACCAAGGCTGTATTCCAGAATAAGGGGCTGCAGAACTGGAACTCTGTACTCCTGCTTTTCATGAGGAATAATGCTAATTCTGCACTTGTAAGTCTGAAATAACGTTCGTATGGATGCTCCAGTGCTGCTAATTCAAACAAATTGGCTTCTGGGAGGCCTCCTGCATCTCACCAGTGTGCTTCCAAGGTAATGTGTCCACGTTAACAGAGCTTGTCTTGGATAAGGGGCTGCAGAACTGGAACTCTGTACTCCTGCTTTTCATGAGGAATAATGCTAATTCTGCACTTGTAAGTCTGAAATAACGTTCGTATGGATGCTCCAGTGCTGCTAATTCAAACAAATTGGCTTCTGGGAGGCCTCCTGCATCTCACCAGTGTGCTTCCAAGGTAATGTGTCCACGTTAACAGAGCTTGTCTTGGACTAATTTCAATACAGGCAGTCCCCGACTTACGCGGATCTGACTTATGTCGGATCCGCAGTTATGAACGGGGCTTTTCTCGCCCTGAAGGACGCGGGCGG